TGGACAAAACTGACTACATCCAAAAGACTAAAGAGCTACTCCATGATACAGACACCCACCGCAAAATCGACACGGACCCCACCACAAAACTGGAAAGTAACATGAATACCACATTGAAACGACTGGAAGAACTGCATCAAATAACCAAAGCGGAACACGGGAGAATGAGAGCCCAAAACTCCATAATCGCACAATTCTACGGATACACAAGGAGGGAATTCCCCTCCGACCGATCGGTTCGCTTCCAGGAACAGCCACATACAAGTTGTCAAAAGAATTATGGAACCAACTGAAGCCGCTCATCGCTGGAAGCGAGTATAGCGTCATGAACTCAAGATAGTTCCTGGACAAGCTCAAAACTGTCAACATCCAAGAAGACGAAATAATGGTCTCGTTTGACGTCACCGCTTTGTTCACTTCGATCGACTTGGACCTGGCAAGATCCACGTTGCTGGAACTGATAACTGAGCACCGACCAAACCCACCAACGGAACCAGCTGCCATTTCCGAACTCATGGAACTATGCATGCAGACGTGCTTCAAATTCGAGGATGAAATCTACGAACAGCTGAAAGGAACACCAATGGGATCGCCAATTTTTGGATTCATAGCCGAAACTGTGATGCAGAATCTGGAGAACAAGGTCTTACAAAGAATCATGCCAAAACTTTGGCCCCGGTGCGTTGGTGACACATTCGTCATCCTGAAGAAGTCAGAACTAGAACGAACATATAACATTAATAATAACACATTCAATAGCATCAAGTTCACAATGGAGACCAAAAAGGATAAACAACTGGCATTTTTGGACATCTTGATCATCAGAACGCTATCAGGAAAACTGGAGACAACGGTCTACCGCAAGGCAACACATAGGAATCAAATTGTAAACTTCAGAAGTAATCATCCACACGGCCACAAAAGATGCTGTGTTAGAACCCTGTTCGGAAGAATCCAAACGCACCGCAGTACCGGCATACACAAGAAGAAAGATACCTTCTCCAAGTGTTTGCTCGCAATGGCTACCCCCGCAACTTCACCAAAAGAATTCTGGCTGAAAGAACGAGGGAAACAACAGACGGAGACTCGAGAGCAAGAATGAGCTTGCCGTACGTTTCGGAAACGACAACAAGACTGCTCGAATCATGGAATCCTAGTTACCCACAAACCGATCGCCTTTTTGACCGGTAAACTCTGCTCTTGTTGATAGTACCGCACAATGGAACTGTTGGTTGAGGAAGGGAATACCCGAGAAGTATGTATCGATTCTCAAAGAGTTGTATCGTCACACCTCAGGTTGGGTTAGGGCCTATGACCAACTTTCATCACCCTTCGCTGTCTCCAATAGAATTCGATAAGGCTGCCCTATATCGCCATTCTTCAACTTCGCCATAGAGGATGTTCTGCAGGAAGTTTTGTCCGGTTTAGCAAACAGTGGAGTCTAACTCCTCTCATGGAACAGAGTGCCTGGCAAGAAATATGCCGATGACATTGCCTTGTTGGGTGACAATGAACAGGCAGTCCAACAAGCTTTAACCCGCTTGGCGTGTGTGGCATGTGCTTTGCACCATCAAAGTGCAAAGTGCTGGTTCAAGACTGGCAGTCGCCTGTGCCTGAATTTACTCTTTCTGGCGATCGGATAGAAATGGTCGAGAGCTTTAAGTTCCTCGTGAACGTATTCGCAGTTGGTGATGGTGTTGGGGAGGAGATCACATCACGAACAGCATAAAGCTAGGGCAGCTTTCGCTAACCTATGGCATCTGCGGCGCCGCCTATCTCTTAAGGGAAGGGTGTAAATCGCCACACTTCGTAGTGTTCTACTTTACGAGGACTGGCCTCTCCGAGCGGAGGATGCTAATCGACTCTGTATTCGACCGCCAATGTCTTCGAAGCGTTGCTCGTGTCTGGTGGATACATCGGTTGAACAATGACGAAATTCGTCGTCTTGTGCTGGGTACTGATAGTCGTTCTCTGACGGAAGAAATCGTTCCACGCTGCCTCCGATGGTTCGATCATGTTTTGCATATGCCTGCCTCTCGACTACCTCGCCGTACTCTCTTTGCACGTGCTGGGCAAGGTTGGAAGAAGCTTCGCGGTGGTCAGACCATGATGTGGAGTAGAGTTACGAAAAAGTAAGCCNAGTAAGCCTCAGCATTGGCTTCGGTCGGTGCAGCTCGCCTTCCGGGCTGGGGTCCGAGGCATGGGGATGGGGATTGTCGCTGATTAGCGATGCTGAGAGATATGGCCCAGAATAGACGTCAGTGGCGTCATTGCTGTGCGATTTGTTTGGCGAAACCCCATACAAAGCATGAGTTGTGTAGTTGGAATGGACAGAAATCCATTATAGGTCATGTGCATCTACCGAGCTCCGCGATGAATCAGGAATTGACTGCTCAAATGTAGTTATTCCTGGCTACTTCGCGAAGGATGTTGTTAGTAGCCTCCTTTAACATTCCAGAGATTAACTGAACTAAGAACAGGGCACAGACTGGTACCGGAGGAAAACTGCCACTAGAGTGGCTGCATCAGCGTGAGTTGTCACAACACATGTAACTAGCCACCCGGTTTAGAGCAGATGACAGGCCGTCCATACTGGATCTAGTGATCACGAGATCCTCGATAGACATTTCTTGTGGTACATCGGGCTGGTCTAACTTTAGCAAGCCGAAGGCATCGGCTGTGAATTCCCCAAGAAAAATTATCGGCACCCTAGCAGTAATGCGCACATAAAACAATTAGGAATTGATTTCTTTGCTATCAGGATTGTTGTAACGTGAAGTCTGAACTCAGCCTTGTGTTAGATATGAGATGTAATACATGCATCAATAATAACTTGCTGAAAAGTGGCCATAGAAATGTATCTGATCTTTGCTAACAATCCCCTTTTTCATGGTTGTTGCAATATACCTTTTTGTCTTTTCAGTGAAGAATCAATGGGCTCCGTGGTGCTTAGCTATTTTCCTTCCTGCGATCTGGGTGCCACTCAGAATAATGAGTCTTTTTTGCCGTGTATTAAAATGTAAGTTTTCTTATCCAATAGTGATTTTCAGTATGGATCTGTCTGGTTTTCATCCGGAAAAATTCAAGATAATCAATGGTGTCTACTCACCGCTTGCGTGCTACGGCGAATTGAAAGTTTCCTACTGTATTACCAGAAACATTCCACGTTTGAACACGTGTATTGTAAGCGCATGGTTTCAAACCCGTTGCAGTTTGGACGGGAGAACGTAAGTGATTTAGTTCTAATGAAATATTCAACAACGGTACTTGTTCAGTTTCAACGAAACCGTCGAGCTACCTTTTGCCTATAATTCGCTTCACGATTACAATGGTGTCTGTTTTGTCCTATCTTCCACGTACACGGACGAAAAAGGGGTGCATGAACAGCTTCTCGCAGGCGCGAATATGCCACTGTACAATTCAAAGAAGTGAGATGCCATGCTATTTGTCTCACTGTTTTGCGTTTGCGTAGACTGTTCCGTAATGGCATCTACGAGCTGGAGCTGCATCCACTTCAACCGCTTGGTGTTCGAAAATTTCACGATTTGGAGCTGGTTGTTCGCAACCCGGAATTCGATGCAAAACCGAAAGACATGGATCAAATGAACAAAATATTGAAAGTACGTCTACATTTTCCAACATTTGGTTTATCACATTTAATGTGTATTCAACATCGAGATGGTTTACAAGAGAGGCGACAGGTCCTCTTGTGAAAACCACAGAAGAATTAGTTTCATCAACATCGTCTCTAAACTTCTTGGTGGTATCATACTCCGTCGATTGTTTCTCATACGTGAGCGGTAGGCTGGTAGGCCCGTCGACCTACCATTTCCATCTTCCTCGATCTAGAAGCGGCCTTCGACTCAGTCCGTCGCTCTAAACTCTGGCGCTGCCTTTCCCTAAAGGGAGTGCCCG